ATTGAAAATGAGCGAAATCGGACTGTAACCACGCCACCTTATGTAACGGTATTTCCAAAAGTGCAAAAACTAAGACATTTCAGTAAATATTGGATCCAAATTTTTGAAAATTAGTATGTAAAGTAGAATTTTGGTCGGGCAATAGCCACACCCAGCTCCCATATAACGGTAATTTACTGAAACACGAAAACTGAGATAAATCAGAAACTACTGAAGCCAATTGACTCAAAATCGATTGCTGCAATGAGCACTGAGCAAAAAAAATTTGATTTTTTATAAATTTTTGGGTTTTGGCCGTGGCTCCGCCCACTTATGACCACAAATGTGTATGTCGGTAACCGATTTATCAATTTTTACCAAAAATTTGTGTATTTAATAACCTTGGAAAAAGCAGTTCGTTGAAAATTATACAAATCGGACTAAAATTGCACCGGTTTACCGTATAACGGTAATTTTCGGATATACGAAAATTCCAATATTTCAATAACTGAGGACGTTAATTTACTCCAAGTTAATACTTACAACAATCTCTGAACAATAAATATTAAAGACTATTAAAGACTTTTAGGTAATTTGAAGAAAGTTGTAACGACGATATTTGATACCTGCGCCGGGTATTTAAAATACGTTTTCGCCTGAACTTATACTTCTTTACTTGTTTTAAATTCAAAATGGCGGATCCAATATGGCGATCAAATTCTTAAAAAATTACTAAAACTAAAACGTCGATACTGAACGTTTTAAGCATTGTCAAGGGTTGAAACTAATTTCCAGTGGGTTAATGGGGTTGCTGATTACGAATCTGATGTCAGATTTTCAAAATTCAAAATGGTGGTTCCGAGGTTCAAACAAATCCAATCATTTGAAAATCTTACATCAGATTCGTAATCAGAAACCTCAGAAACCCACTGGTAACGCTTTTCAACCCTTGACAATGCTTAAAACGTTCAGTATAGGAATGTTAATCCCGGGATCCCGGCCTTTTTAGGGTCTCGAAAATCCCGGGATTCTTGGCAAGTAATCCCGGGATTTTCGGGATTTGTAATTTGCACTGATGGCAATAATAGAAACTCCTTTTCTTGACCAGTATTGGCTATATTTCTTTTTTTATTTAATAATTAATATTTTTTTATAAATGTCTGCCTCATTAGACATATAACACCGCGCGATAGTAAATTTTAAACACAAATATCAATATATTCCCGAAACCATGGGCCAAATATAGTAAAATTGCGTTTTTAGCTTTTCACTCTGACGTCAGTAATTTAAAAATGATTTGAAAAATTCAGAGAAATGTGCTTATTGAAGAAGTATGGGTATAAAATTAATGCGGAAATCCTGTAGAATTTAAACAGATTCAAGTTTCAAGTATTGAAAATGTCATTTTAAAATTTTATCCTTGAAATTTCGCAATATTTGATTGGTCGCCGCGAATAACGCTGTAAGCGCCAATTTACTCAAAACTATTTTTTTCGCAGATTACCGTTAAAAATACTCTCGTGTATCTTCGCGGTTGCGAATTTCTCAATTTCCGTCAGTTTTCGGACATTAACCTACGCTCCAAAGTGAGTAGTGAGTGGAAAAACGTTTTAAGTGCAGGTGACCATGGCCAATTTATAATTAACAAGCGGCATGCAAAAGTGCAATAATGGTAAAAAACGTAAAGTACATTTCGAAAATTGGAATGATATGCCAAATAAGAGGCTAATAAATATTGGGAAGAATATTCAGGAAGAAATGCGAAAGGGGTATTAAAAAAAAATTACCAGAAACGGTAATGTGGAAAAACGTTGTAAGTGAAGGAGCTGTGTTAATAACAATTTTGGTTTTTTATTCCCCAAATTGTCAACTGCGCTTGTTCTCTTCACTGCTCAAGCTTCATATTGCAGACTATTCAAAAGCATTTCACCAATTTTTATAAAATGACCTATGATGAACAATCAAAGAAACCTTATTGTTATATTTATTATATTCATTTGTCGAAAAAGGTTGTAAGCGCCACCAGCAAAGATGCTAGGCTTACTGGAAAAATGTGTTATCATCAGGGAACGGATTTTATGGAAATTGCCTTTTTTTCTGCTAAAGAGATAGAGTATATTCGATTAAGAATGTCCACGATTTAGCTTTCTCTGATTCCATATATACACATTTGATGTTGCCTTTTTTGCCTTTTTTAAGGTATTTGCCTTTTTTTGCCTTTTCTACCTTTAAAAAAGTGATTATAGCATTTACATTTTTTTTTAAGATTAAAAAATATACACATTGCCCATGCGGCTTATAGAAGCGCAGAGACCTCTTGCCAAATTGGTGTTGGAAAAATTCAAAGCCGTTTTCTCAGCTAACGAAGGCTTGGAGACAATAAGGGGTGTTGATAGAATTATAAAGGGCGAGGAAAACGCCCTTATTCCTGATAATATGAACGTTTCAAAGGTTCCATATTTAAATTGGGCTCCACTTGTATCAACTTACGTCGAGCGCATATTTAGTACATTCAAGGCTTTTCTTCGCGAAAATCGAATGAAAATGCTGCCAGAAAACTTCAAAATGCATCTTGTGGTTCAATGTTACTACAACTATACAGATTAAAGTTTTATGAGTTAGAAACCCGAAAGGATAAAATAGCCAAAGATTCAAAGTACAAATTTTTCATATAATGAAACTAGTTCATAGTTTTTCTCTTTTTACTTGTAATATAAATGTATTTTTTGATTGTTCTTCGTATTTTCTGTCTTTTAGGTGCCTTATTTTGCTTTTTTGCCTTTTCCTGCCTTTTTTGCTATTTTGTTTTGCCTTTTTTTTTGCCTTTTTTGCAACACCTAGTGCCTTTTCCTGCCTTTTTCGCTATTTTATTTTGCCTTTCCCAGCCTATTTCGTTATTTTATTTTGCCTTTTTTATAGGTTTTTAGGTCCTAAAAATCCGTTCCCTGGTTATCATCCATTGGGATTTCGATATAAAACGTTTTTCCATCAGTTAAACTTTGTAAATCTTTTTTTGACTTGAAAAATATATAAGAATATACATTTTAAATCACGGGCAAGTTTCTTGGAGACTGCTGCACCGAAAAATGGAAAACTAAATCAAATGACTTTATGCGCGTCGTCAAAAACGTTTTTCCCATTCCTGAAAACTTCTGATTATGTCGCTTACAACGTTATTCGCGGCGACCATTCATTTGTTTTTGAATAAATTATATGTTAAGGGCTTATATAAACTCGATAACATCCTCGAGATTCGTTCTTCTAACTTTGTCAGCTTAAAAATTACCTATTCGTCCTTGTGAATCCAAAAAATTTAAATTTTTAAATTCTAAAGAAATTTCCTATTACATTTGTTACCCATGTTTTTATGCTACATTGCATTGAATTTTTTTTTAACAATTTTTGGAATTAATCATATCTTTGAAATTACAAAGTCCTTCAAAATAAATCCCGCGGTCAGAGAGGAAAAATATCTAAATCCCGGGACTAATCCCGGTATCCCGGGATTGAGACAACGCCATCCCGAAAATCTCGGGATCGGAAAACGCCGAAAAATTAACATCCCTAGTTCAGTACCAACAGTTTTAGTAGTCTCTTTTCGAAAGCACATTTTCGGGCACTAGGCCCATTCTAATTGTCTAAGTCAGGTATGCAATTAAGAGAATGCAGAGTATTTACATGTAAAAACACCTTTTTTAGCTGCATTTTAACATGTCACGAAAATAAAAAAAATTGAGAACATCAGCGTTTTTATTTACAATCCGATTTTATACCATCCCAATGGGTAGTGCTAGAGTCCAGATATCTTTAAAATCGTATTAAGTTACAATTTGACTCGAAGTACAGAATCCGCACATTTTACATGAAAGAAAATTGTTACGCAATGGATCGATATAATAATGAAAAAATTAAAATCAAGTTAGATTTAAATTCAGTAATTTGGTCTCATGGGAATGAATACAATCGCAAAAGCATCGGACCAGCCAAATTAGGTGAAGAAATTGTGATTTTATAAGAAACATATGTAGGTATGTCAGAATGCCCTTGGAACTTTAGTTATTTTATATGATGTTCTCACGAGTACTGCCAATTACGTTGTTCTTAATTCGGTTAGCCAGTTCATTAATCTTTTTTTATTGTTTTCTTTATTTCCGATTCTTTGTTTTAGATTTTTCTACTCTCTTTTGCTTAGACAGCTGAGTTCGATAAATTTCCGATTAAAATTAGGGACAAATGGTTTGCTCTTAATTCGCATGGTAATTGAATCTGAATTTCATAATTCGATCTGGTTTAGAAACTACACAGTCCCAACAATCTAAGTTTAACAAAAGATTGTTATACATTTAATGTTCTATAAATCCTCTTTTCAAACCATGTTTGATTTTTGAAATCGGATGAAAAATAGTCACGCTGTTAATAGGTAAGTACATCAAGTACGAGAATAACGGGTTTTGAATAAAAACATCTACATTAAGTTTTGTTTCGGGTTTTCCGTGATTTTTTTGTCGCACTGTGTTATTATGGAGTCTTATTTTTACACCGGATATTGAAGCTAACCTTATGCCCCTATTATGATTCAATGTTACAACTCAACTCAACTATGTTTTTGTATTATATAATACTAATCGTATGATACACAACCAATTTTCGTTGTCTTCGTTAAGTTATTGCCAACCTGAAAATTGTTACTTTTGACAAATCAGTTGATCGTCACACAAGTATTCAAAAAATTGTGTGAAAATTTAAATATATTCATTTACTATGGATGTCTCCGTCGAAATGTATTTTTCGGAAGATGAAGAGGACGAAAATGTGCAGCTTGCACGTATTAGAAGGAGCCTTAGAGACCAGACTAATCCATTGGAGCTACCAACGGCCAAGTACGTTATTGTATTAATGATACTGCAGAACGTTTTTCATAGTTCTTTTTTCAGATTCATTAGTTACTTTATGCTGAACAAAGAAGCGTTTATATATTTATTGAATGAGACAAAAGACTTTTAAGCAATCAATGGGGACTTCTGCTACATCACCGACCATAAAATTATGCGCCGCTTTACGCTTTTTTGCTGATGGCAGCTACCAAAATAGTAGCGGTAGCAATTTTAATTTTGGTTTAGCTCAACCCACATTTTCTGTGGTTCTTGTGGAAGTTCTAAACATCCTTGAACAACATGTCTGTTGATCAAGGCGGCGATGACCACTGATGAAATACAGGATTCCAAACTGGCTGTTTACGCTCAAAGTGGATTTCCAGGAGTATTGGGCTTCGTTGACGGTACGCATGTCCGAATCTGTGGGCCACGAAAGGAAGTACAGCATCTATATCTTAATAGAAAAGGATACTACAGCCTTAATGTGATGATTGTGAGTCTTGCTATTCTTTATCTAAATATTATTCATGCTTTCACATGTTTTTTAGTTTTCAGACTATAAACAGAATATTGGGTTCGTTGACGCCAGATACACAGGTTCTAATCATGATTCTCATATATGGAATGTGAGCACACTAAAACAACGACTCGATCAGAATTTGCCAACAAACACATGGATTTTAGGTAAGCGATCCTTACTTTAATATAATTAAGGTGCAACTATATACAGAAGTATGTACAATATATAAAATTATTCCTAGGTGATACAGGATATCCACTAGGAAGAATTATAATGACCTCATTTCGGAATACAGTTGATGGCTAACCACAAAAGAGGTACAACAAAATTCATGCTAAAGCAAGGAACTCCGTTGAGAGAACCATTGGCGTGCTGAAAAGCAAGTTCAGGTGTTTGCTTTCTGCGCGTGGTTTGCACTACGCGCCAGAAAAAGCTATGCAAATTGTTAATAGCTGAAATACAATGCCGGCGAACGGCGAACTCACCACAGCGAAATTCGCGCTGCCAAAATTAGAACACCCGCGTGCATATGAGATTGAACACAGCCAAAGCGAAATGCGAAGTTCACTCGGCGGCGTTTCATGGCGATAGATTTACATATTTCTATCGCTCTGCTGGGCGATGACAGATGTACGTACCAAAGGTGGCCGTATTTTTTTTGTATTTCGAAGTTTTAGAAGAAAACAGCATAGACATGAATTGTTTTTGTTGTCTAAAAATGTAGTTGTGGATTCGTTAAATCTGGCTTGAAATAAAATAATTTATAATAATTTTTCTTTGTTTTGCATCTATATTTGCTATCATTTCCTTATTTCTAAATATGGTCACCCAAATTATATAGGCGACCAAATGGTATCTGTTTTCACTACCGGTCTAATTCTGTTTAAGTAGGCGAAATAGCTGGGCGAACGGTGAACGACAGCATCGCCCAATTTGGCGAAGTTTGCTGTTCGCCGGTATTGTATTTCAAGCATAACGCTTGCTGTGCTTTACACAACATTTCTCAGTATTTTAAAGTTAAATTTGCCAAAACCATTTTGAGCACAGATAACCAACAAGAATCCACACCTGTGGAAAATAATTCTGCAGAGAATGGCGAAGCAGAAACAATAAGGAACAACATAATGCGTCCATTGCAATAATTTCATATGTATTTCATTTTAAGTTAATAAATAAATTCAGTTTCTAAAAAGTAACAAAATATTAAGTTTTCAAATTAAGAGGTACTTATGTAACTAATAAAATCAACGTGGTTACTTAAGTGATAAAAAGTGGTGTTTACATTGAAATGAAAATTCATTAAAAAAATAATAATAATTCATTCTATAAAAAGTTCTATTTCCTAATACATGGTACCACACATATTGAATTCTTCAGTCTTTTCAATTTTTCTTTTGCAATCTATATCTTTAGTTTCCTAAGGACACTTGCTTCTTTTTCACGTTCCTTCAACAACTTCAATTCTTCTTTCTTTAACAGGTACACTTTATGCTGCGTGCTTTCCATTTATTTGAGGGTTCGCAGAATTTCAGTTCGCGTTCGAGCCTGCCTTTCCAGTAGTTGCATTTTGGCTTCGCCTTTTTCAATAACTACCGGCGAATCAGTAGCTGGAGGAGTTACATTTTCCTCTGTGGTCAAATCAACAGCTAACCCGAACGCACTCCCGGGGGGATTAATGGATAAATTTACTTGAGTAAGCTCACACACTCTTTCTTCACTAGCAGTCAAACTGATTTCTTTCGATGGGCCACCGCCGGTCGCCAGGAAGTTTTCTTTATTTTTCGCCAGCTTTCGTTTTAGGTTGGCTTTATAATGAATCTACACCTAAATAGAAAAAACAGAATAAGGTTTTGTTTTTGGTTTTGTAAAAACTATCTTACCCTTTGCCATTCCGGCCCTGACTTGATGGCGGGCCAAGACTATTCAGCTCGACTGCAAACTGCCCCCAAGTGTCTTTTATTTCTTGGCGACTCGATCCGTATTGGCCTTTACCTCTTCCAATGTCGGGATGTTTTTCGAGTAAATCGACAAGGCGGTCAATTTGTTCTTTGTTTGATATTTTCCTGAAATAATTTGTTGTATATTTTACGTATTTTATTACAAACACTTACAATGCTTTTTCCATTTTCACGTTTATTAACAAGAACACAACTGATAAAAAGTAGTTGTCGCACTTTGACAGCTCATATAACTAAACTTTAGTTAGGCTGTAAACCATAATACTGGTAACAACTTAACGAAGACAACTAAGTGAACAGCTGATTGAAAGTTGAGTTGAGTTGTAAATCATAATACGAAATCGACACCTACTATCAGTTTAGTTGTGAATCATAATAGAGGAATTAATATCACTGTGAGACAAATGGTAGGGGTCAGTGATCGGGAAGGGTTCAAACTACCGGGGAAAGTTATATCGGTAAAAAAGAAGTTACGTGTCCCGGCGTTTCGCTGGGTCACGTCTAGGAATCGAGATATATCGATTTGAAGTTAGTAACTATCATACAGGGGAAATTGTCACCTTTGGTGGTCTTTTTTTGACATAACTCGAGA